TCCATTGACATAACATGAAGAAATATATTTCAACAAACAAATATGCAAAAAACACGCTTTTTGTGACTTACCTGTATTTCCAAACATCGAAAACAATAAAGGCAGTTAACGAAACAGCCAACCAACGAAAGTGGTATTGAATCCTCTAACCTCTCTATTTCGTGGTGATATCTTCGGCTTCAGACTAATTCTTATCACCGACGTACGTACCTTTATATTCTTTCCCCTAAGTTTGCCTCCAAACAGTTGGTTCTAGATACTTCTTCAAGTAAGTTTTGTAGTCAGTACAAAGAACTAACCCAGATGTGTCATGGTTGATCTGCTCCTGCTTATTTTTGTGCTCCTGTTTCAAATTTTGCCTGCTGCTCGCTTTGGTTATTCACTTTTCAGGTTGACTTAACCAGTTCTGCATTCAAATGGAATCCTACAAATCGCATTTGTCGGTGGAAAATATCGCCATCAAAACCTTATGACGAACGCACATACCCAAGGGTCACGACTGTGATGTGGTCCCACCTTCAACCTTCAACCGAATAATTCCTAATTTCGAACTGAGCCTGCTTCAACACACCTCTTATATGCCATGAATAACGGTGTCTAATGTGTAGCCTAACACTGCACATAATGATCATTTCTCATTACCGAAATGATCAAGCCTGTAAAGTGGTTTGTAATCATGTAACCTATGTTGTATGATATATATATATATATATATATATATATATATATATATATATATATAATCATAAACGAGGCATAACTGAATAAAATTCATAACACAAGAACGTCAACTACGTCCGCAACTCTTGTAAATCAACGGAAAACTCTTTTGCACGAAACCAGTCGTGCAACACGGTCTACTAAGATGGCCAGAAATGACCTTACGATGGTCACAAGACAACATTCTGTTTGGTTTCCAAGTGGCAAGGCGCTTGTTCAATTTGGCCTGGAGGATCACGGCAGTGATCACAGCCTTCACTTGGTACTCTGGAAAGGGAGTTAGATATACACGTAGAGGTCTGTAATAAAAATGGACTGTATTCAAGAAGCTATGCGTTGTCTTACAGCCCATGAATGGAAGCGGTACTTATGACAACGTGTTCAACTAACTGTGTCGTTTCAAGTTTGTGTGAGCCAAAAAGCAACCGATTATCTCAAATAAGGAAGGTATTTCAATAAGAAATACGATGAACTAAAAGAGCTGCCCTTAGTTACTTCTACAACACGAAGTTTGAAGATATTGTTGGATGCTGTTCAACTGTTTGAAGCGTCATCCTTCAAACGCGATATTTTAAAAAAGAATGTTACTTACCACCAGTTGCCTTGGTTTGACTTGTGGGGTAAGTTTGGGTATAATTACTACTTGTTTCTGAGTTTGAATTACTTTCAATCTGCTGCTGCTAAAAGGTTTTACATTCGATCGTTATTGCAACCTGATAAACATGTAGTTTTTCGTGGTCATTTGTCGTAACACGGAACCCAGTCAACATTTTGGTGGGACAAAACACGGTGTATGTTGCAGATTTCAGTGAAAACATGAGGCCGAACGCGGGATTACGCAACATTTCCTCGGATTTTATTCCCTGTGTTCATCCCCACTTTTTTCTCTGAGTTCCCCCTTGTTTTTACCATCTTCTGCGTGTTTGAAAATGCTGACTGGGCATATAGTTTCAACCGCAGTCAAATGAATCCTTTTGTGCAATTATGTTCTACCTGACTCCAAACTGTTCAGGTTCACCTTGATGCTGAAATGTGGATTTTCGTCTACTTTTGGGCAACTTCATACTCCGTAGTTCGCTTTTAAAAGTGAATTGCAGGGTATGGAAAAATTAATTTTTAGGGCGGAATCTGTTCAGAAGCTCCATTATTTTTCTGCTTGGCCATTATAGTTACTGATATGTTTTCTTTGCTATCTAGTCTTAATAGTAGAGACATACATTTGTATAGGAGCGCCATATCTCTTTAGCTGTATTTCTTCCGTTGTTGAGGGTTGAAATAACTAAGATATAAATCAAACAGCCTAAAAGTTCCCTACATATACCTCACAGGATGCTGAATATAGTCGTCGAATTTGTTTTTTGTATATCCGTGATTAGTTATGAAATGTCAACGCAAATTTGTATTCTGCCTTTTATTATTGTATGTATGTGGATGAATTGTCAGCCCTAGTTTGCTTGGAAAAAATAAGCACGAGATTTGCAGCATATCCCTCGGCTGCACACTGCCTGAAAGTACGACAGTTATTGAGATATGAGGTATTTCAAAATAAGAAAATCAATAACCTTAAGTTGTACAACAAAATTATTAATAGTCCATATAGCATTTTGGAGAAACAACTGTATAAGGATAAGACATGTAAGAACGGAGAAATCATAATGTCGGTAAAGTTATTAAAATGAAACAGGATCAAATCATAATCACCAAGGTAGTGAGAGACTAACCATATTCTTCTCTATGCAAAGTTCATCCTGAAAATGCTTCATAACAATCGCTTCAGCGAGACGCAGTAGTCTAGACATTTTCTCTACAGCCTATTATTTTAAAAGCACCCGAGGTTTCAACCTGAATTCATATTTCTACGAGGTGGATGGTAGTTGCACGGGCAGAAATTTCGCTCCCTTTCAAGCACAGATTAATGAGGATTTGCTCAAAGAACCGAGTAATCACCCTACTCTCATTTCTTTCAATATACTTACTAACTCCCACTCACATGGCGACCAAAGTTTGGTCCTGTCTCATTTTAATCACACCACTTTATTGGCTTGTCTATTATTGTCTTTTCTTTCTCGTACTTCTTATCTCTGTACAACTGGTTCTCTTAAACGCTATATGGACTGCCAATGATTTTGTCGTATAATTTAAGATTTTAGGAATTGTCCTGGTGCGAACTTGACAAATGCAGACGCCAACCACTAATTATTCGAACTTGTTATATACCCATGAATACGAGACCAAGAAAGAACACGATAGCGTAATTGGATGGGATAGTATATCTACGAGGTCGGGCCAAGATACTGATGCCTTCCAACTAACGCTGCAGGGTCGATTACGAGCAATGCAACATAACACGAGAGCGTACCAAATGGCGAGGATGCTTAACCGGGTGCATTCAGCTTAACGAGTCCGGTAAAACTATGAAGGTCAGCATCAATGCTGAATCTCGTCGAACCCTAGGCCATTTATTCTGGAGAAGTGGATGACGCTACAAGATCATGAACTTCGTAATTTTGAAATGTCCAATTTCGTAATAACTTATGCTTTTAGAATGTATGCAACTGAAGAGTATTCTTGAAATATTGTTGACGCATAATTCCTCGACATTTACATATGACTGTAGGATCTAAAGAGGAAGTTATCGAAAAGAACGTTCCTCGTTCACTCAAGTAGCTTTCGAATTGTGATGGGAATTTGTAGTGACTTCAAATGATGTCGCTTTACTCCACAATTGTCGTCCTTCTTACTTTGTTCAAATTTATCGAGGGAGCTAAATGCATTTTTTATTGTTCATGAGTGTATATGCAGGGCATTTTGTATCCAGTGTGATTAATTGTTTTCCACCGTTTTGTATTCTGACAAGCGAAGTTCTTATCAGATTGAGACAACTTTAAGTGAAGCACCTGTAAATTGCAATGCAGGCTTACTGGTAGCCTCATCCATCTTTACAAACTCTGCTTCCTTAGTTAAAAAGACTGGTTTTAGATTTTATATCGCTTTAGGATTCTTTCTATCTCTGTCAAAGATTGCTAACATGCACATTAAAGTACTTAACAAAAGTTTGAGCTTCCGTCCCAGTGAACGCCAACATCACGAAATACCATTGTATCGACTTTAATGTGCTTTGACTTACGTAACAGCTCAGTTGTAACTGCATCTTCGTAACATTTCTCAGTCTTATTAGCCATATTACTCATCAGTAACGCTTTTTGTTCACAGCTTCTTTGCGTTGATTGGCTACTATTTTCGCTCCGCTGTTATTTCATTAATATAAGAGTAAAACTTGTACACTATAGTAGAATCTAATTCTATTTTAATTGGCTTATTAGATTTATCGCGGTGTAACAGTATTGTTTACTGGATTACTTTTCTGTCAATTTATTGTCCTTATGATTATTCAGTGTAAATGGCTGTTGTTAAACCAGTTAAATGTGACAGTTTGCATTCTAGCAGATTGAACTTGTCGTCTTCACTCTTTGCTAACTGAGGCAGCTACATCCAGCTGAGTCCCAAATAGGATAAGATGCGCGTCCTTGATTCCACTGCTAGCCACTATCCATCATTAATACATAATTCAAACGGGCAGTATCAAAACATCCGACAGGAGCCCGTATGCCAATAAAGACCGATCAATTCGGTCCGCTCGGCGGCAACATTGAAGGTATCAATGTTTTCCTTTTCCAGGGGGACGATCCCAGATTTGCATGAAACATTGTTTATTAATCTAAACATTTTGAAACTTTCTTCATGCCATTTTTAAAGTGTGGCCAGTAGTTCATCCCCCCTCCATGTTCAAGGTAATTCGCTGATTAGTTTATGCTTGTTTTTACTATATTACTGTTTCAAATTCTGGACAGTGTCATATGTCATATGTACATACACTTGTATTTTTCGGATAATCGACTGTTCTTCTCAGAGGTAATAAACTATCCCTCCTAGTCCAGTCTTCTGTATTTCTTCCGGGGTTGAAGTCTGTGGATCTTGCGTACAAAGTTAGCTGTCGGTCAAACGTGCGTGTTTATACTCTCGGAACTATAACAAGCGTTTTCAATCTGTGGTGATTTTAGTGGTAAAACATCCCCATCATTTTGAACGCATGTCACACGAAAGCTATTGAATATTGTCTTGATTACTGGTTTTTAACTGTTTCATTAATTTTACAGTAACATGAAACTAGCTTACTAACCATTTATCCTTCATTAATATTGCTTTCAGCATTTTACAACTGAGTTTTGATAAGTGGTCCACTCTCCTACTATCTTCCGACGTTCGAGTTCATTGTATAAATGCCTTTTGTATGCTCCTTAGAGCACATCCCTTCAAGATACAAATGTTTTGGGTGTCTACACGTTAGAACCGGAACATTAGTATTAGCCATTCTTCAGGTTCTAGCACATATAGTAGTTATAGCTATCTCTGCGGCAGCCCTTGGAAGTTTATCTTCTCGCTCAAACGCAGAGTATGTGGTTTATGGACTTAGTATGATGTCTTTTATTCAATGGGAGCGCTTTATCACCGAACTGAACAAATATTTGGATATGCCCATTATTGGAAAAGCAACCAAAACATTTGGGGTAGAACTTGGTGTTTCGGGAAAAAGTTGGTGATTCCTTTTCCGTTTGCTAAATTTGGACAGAAAATGAAAGTGGACTCGTGGATTCTCCATTTTATGTTCGAGCAGCGAAATTTCTAAACCCAGGTGAAGAGTATGTTTCAGTAGCCATAACTCTGTTTTCCTTGTTATGTTGCATACTTATGCTTGTTGGAGTTGTGCATGTTAAACCGGGCTACGTTCTACCTTACTGTTGCCAGCAGGTAATTGGTTATTTCTGTAAATGAAAATGCTAGTTTTTGGATCTGTTTATTACATGTCTGTCAGTCATTGGTTACTGCGCTTACATTCCGAATGAAAGTAAACAGGTACCTACTCGAGTAAGTCAGATATTTATGTGCACTTTCAAAGTAAAGTTTACTTAAAAAAAACGGAATTATGAAAGCATTTTGCTGATTTTTCAGCGAAAGGATACAGCCTTCAGAGACAGGAATAAATGTTTATGGTTAGGAAACCATGGGAACTGCTCGCGTTTTTATCTCAAAATGAGTTCTTGAAAAGCTTCTGTTTTGCATGACAACTGAAATTAGTGTTGCGTTCAACAGCCTTCCTAGGTAAACCAGTTTATTGTCTTATGAATTCAAAGAGCTCACGTGCCCTGCATCACGATGGAGGGGACTTCACGGTGCACATAATTGCAGATCAATTCGTTGGTTAGTGATAATAGTGTCTTCAGTGTACATTAATAAGATTTGAGGTTTTGTCTCGGATTTCAAGAGGGCACCACAACTGTTAGATTAGATTTGCGGTGGATCTCCCTACGATAATTTGTAGAGTCAGATTATCAAACAACCATCTGACGCTTTAAAATCCAAAGCAAAGGTATGTTCTAAATTTTTTGGATGATTATTTATTCAGGTGGTTCACAACTTACACGAAACCAGTGTAATACAGTGAATCGTTTAAATAATACTGTGATTGTATAGTCTAAGGAAATCAACCATCGAGACACAAAATTTACGTAGAACCTCTCAAAAAGTGTATACGTTCTCATGTTGCCTCATTTCACAGTAGTTTGTGAAGAATACGTGAATAGAAAAAGATTGATATCAAAGGTGGAAAAAGCGTATGAGGGGAGATAGAATTTGAAAATGGAGATTGGCAAAAATATTAAAGCTTTAGGTATCAGAGACTTAATACATCTTCGCTATTGTGACTGATTTTCAGCCATGTCACCAAGAGTCCTCAACCGCTGATTCCTATTGTCTCGAAAACCTCAGCCTAGGAGTTTACATCTATTTGGTCCAGATCAACAGTCAGAAACCCTGTGAACTGAGACCACCTCTGTCTGGTCACCATGACTTTGCTTCCAACACAATCCAACTTCTACCGTTGCATGTGAAGGTAGGGAGTGGATCAGCATGCACAGCAAATGTCCAAGTCATCTCAGTCAATGGAGGTTCCTAACCTCATCGACCAATCTGCCTTTCTGGTCCAATACCTTTCGCCTTACCTCGACATTGCTACCATGCTAATTTGACCGTACATGAGCACTGGTACGAAGACACCGGTCAAAAACCTGTAACCACTTTATATCTTCTGGTCTTAACGACCATGTCTCACAGCCATATAATAGGACACAGTAAACTGTGGCGCAGTATACTCGCCCTGTAATATGTAGTCGTATTTCTCACCAGTTAGCACCAGAAGTGATGCAGGCCGACAAATATAGAACAAACCTTTTGTATCCTAGCTCAGATTTCGTCAGCAACCAGACCGTTTAAATTGACGCAACTCCCCAAGTATATGAAGTGGTCAACACATTCCACCGCTTCACTATCATTAAACTGGGAGTAGATGAAGACTAGTCTTGAGGTATCACTTTACATTTGACGGATGCAAAAAGCTTACCAAAAACAGGTTTCTCCTCAAGGTATTCAGAAAACCGTGCATTTTAGCAGCGTCTTCGTTTGACAGGGGTATGTCTCCTACGTATTCCGGGGCAACCAGAAGGTCTTCTTAAAGGAACCTAGTTCCTGGGAATTCTCAGGCATTTTAGTTTTTGTCGGATATTGTAAACCTAAATGGCGACAGTTGACGTCCTTGGTGGTCATCAATGCTAGTCGTTACTCCTGGTGGAGACTATATGCAATGTCTTACACGGTTGCGTGAGTTCAAGTAGAGAGCTTTGATCAGAATAACATGCTTGTTCAGTACTTCATTCAGTCAGAAATCCCCACAACACTTAATTAGTGGAGTCGAATGCTGTCTTCAAGTCAAGAAAGATGAAAAAATAGGTGTATAGGACTGGCATTTATATCCGTGTTCAGAAAACTGTGTGAGGGTTAAGGTGTTATTGATGCATCCTCGTTACCCTAGCGTGGCACGTCGAGGCGCGCAGTGGATCTGATGGTACTACTACATCTGATATCCATACGCTAGCTAGCACCTCTGGCACTCTACTCAATAACCTTTTACCTCCATCCTTAAAACGGACCGGTAGCAAATCGACAAGTTCTGCTGCTTTGAACTGGCTTCTCACAGCCGATGTTTGTCGCTTACCAGCTTTTTTTTTACCGCTGTTTCCCATACCATACCTAAATATTACATTATGCTTTACCAGGAAGAGAACATCTTTTTCTTTCCTAAGTACGTATTTGGCTTTCTCACGTTCCAAATGATCACTTGTTCGTTCTGGATTCTCAAGCCTGTATGTTAGGGGTCAGGGTTTCCCACTTAGCCTAAGTGTCCTCTCCATATTCATTAATCCGATTGTTGTAAGCGCCCCCTCATTTTTGGAAACACTTGTGGCATTTAACTAATGAGTACCATTTATCCGGCAAAATATATGACTGTGTGAGAACTTTTTTAGAAAACGAGCGTGTCCGTTCTGCTCCCAACCCTTGAATGGTTTATGGTTATCACGGACTTGATTCTGTATTCCTAATAATATGGTTTCCGATAAGGCAGCACTCTGATAACATTTAAGATAACGGTCAGGTTACTCAGACCTCACACTTTCTGCATAGTCTATAGTTTTTCTCATATTCGTTGCTTCTCACCCTTTTTAGATACTGCTGAACATCCTTATAATATGTGTCGGCGTCTTGCTCCTCAGCCTTAAAAGTTATTTGTTATATATGGTGTGGTTATGTTACAAGTTTCTCATGATCTTCTCCGCTAGTACTAGAAGCACTACGGGGTTCCCTAATGACCTCAGTTTCTGCTCATTCCTTGCTCGCTGCTGTAGAAAAGGTGAGAGGTGTACGACAGAGCATATCTCTGAACATTCTGAAAACCCACAGGCATTTACTGGAGGTAAGTGTTATTATTTCAGATTTTGTATAAATCATCTTGGATAGAAAAAAACCTGAAATTTATGAGGTACTTGAAAACTTTTTTCTCTATAACTGTTAGTTGAGTCACCTGTTACACATTAAAAACCTGTAGTTCCCAATTCAGATGGTTTACCGAGTTTCGAAAAATTTCTAGGTAATGCTGTACCATTTCAAAGGCAGATTTAGATGAAATAATAATGGCCTCGGTTTCCTCACTAATTGAATAGATGTACAACCTTTTGAGTGTTCCTTAAACGCACGATGAAAAACATCTTTTGATAGGTTTATCTGTCCTGCCTACGCGAAAAATGTAAGAATACAATTAATTCACGGATTTAACATTCAGTAATACTTTTCCGGAAGGTTCTGCTATACAGTTCAGATACACCCTACGATTTCGGTAGCTGTTTGTTACATAAACATGGTTTGCACTAAGACTGAACATAACGTAATACTTTTTCTGTCATATGTTAAATTTGTGAATAACCCTCTTGCAAGATCAATAAATACTATGGACCTATTACGAAACTGACTGATTGCAAAATCAGCGTAGAACCTTGCACATAGGTCCAATGATTCAAGTGCCCACACTTCACAGTATTACACAGAGAACAAGTGGATAGAAAAAGAGTGATATCAAAGTGGACGGATTTGTGTGATAATAAACAATCTGAAGAAAAAGCCTAGTGCCAATATTCAAGTTTTAGAAGACGTCAAAGAGAGAATACATCTGCGTCACCGGGACCGATTTCCAACAATGTCATCAAGACTCCTCAACCACCAACTCCTTTCGTCTCGAGGACCCCAACCAGGCAGTCCACATCTCCAAAGACGGCTCAGGCCAATAGGAAGAGGACTCCATCAATTGAGGCCAGATCTTCGTCTTGTCACCCTTAACCCTCCTCCAACCCAATCCAACTTCCCCTACCATGAAACGTCAAAGTAGGCAGTGGCTCGACACACGCGGTACATATATCCAAACCATCTCACTTAACTAAGGTTCACAACCTCATCAATCGACTTGCCTTTCTTCTCTAGTACAATTCCCCTCACCCCCAAAACATTGTTCACACAGTGACTCAACCAAACGCAACCACTGTTACGAATACACCTTCGATCGGAACCATGTTACCCCTCCATGTCTTAAACTTCTAACGGTCATATCTCACACCCGTACAACAGGACACAACAAACCACAGCACAGTATACTCATCCCTTGGTAGATTGTCGGATATCTCGCCAGTCGACGTCACAGGTGACGCAAGTTCGCAAATGTTAAACAAGCCTTCTGTATCCGAACTGAGATTTCATCAGCAACCAACCCGTTCCGGTTGATGCAACTCCTCCAACTAAGTGAAGTGGTTGACACATTCCACCACTTCACTCCCTGCCCATCATCCAATCAGGAGTGCTTGCACATTGCCAGTCTTGCAGCATCACATTACATTCGACAGGTGCCAGCAAAACGCATGCCAAACATACACAGATTTCTGCTCAACGAGTTCAAAATACCCTACATTTTGTCACCCTATTCACCCAGCAGGACAATATCGTCTGCATTCTCCAAGTCAATCAGATCACCTCCAGAGAGTAGATCAACCTCTGTAAAGTCAGACGCACCCAAGGTTATGTCCATCAGTACGTCTATGACTAAGTCAGGTAGAAACGGTGACTGTGGACATCTCTAGTGGACACCATAAGTTATCGTCTTCGTTAGCTGCATGAGTTTGAGTAGACAGTTTTGATAATCACTGTTTACTTTTAGGGTACTTTCTTCACAGTTAGACACTGCCGCGACAGCACACGGTCGGCAGAGTCAAACGCTGTTTTTAGGTCAAGAAACATGACAAGTATTGGGGATTGGTAGGTAAGCATGCTTTGTTTCCAGAAGCTATCGGATGGGGAATATATAACCGATTCATCCTTGTCCAGGTGTGCCACCTGCTTGGTTCCCTGGAGTTTGCTGTTTTCGAGCTTCACTTACGTGTCGGGTCCTGAAGACAATATTAGTCAGACTAACTCCCCGATCGTTATCACAAGAAGACCCCTCTCCCTTTTTATAGACTGGGATGGTCAGTGAGGTATAAGAGTCCGACGGCACTAACTCTGATCCCAACACACTATACGGTACTTCCGTCACTCTAATCAACAGTTTCCTGCCTCCATCCTTGAAAACGTCGGGTGGCTAACTTTCAAGGCCTGCTGCCTTGCGTTGTTTCACGTTCCACTTATCTTTCTCATCTTTAAGCATTCTTCACAAAATAAAGTTAGGTGCAATATACTGATTCACTCCACATTGTACACCTAAGGGAAAGTTTTGCTGAGGTGGTGACTTTATTTATAGATACTTGTAATTTTTAGTCGAACCACTGGATCGGATAGCCCGATCTCTGTTACCAGATGGACTTTTATGCAAATGTCTCGACACCCTCTGAATATTTATCGTGCTAAGATTTACGTGGTGATTTTATCTCAAGGTGCACTAAGTTTATTGCTTTGCAATCCTCATTGTTATAGAGACTGCATGTTTTTTCCAAGGCCGATGGTCAGCTGACACAGTTAAATATTGGTCACTAGTCTGTAAACTGCATATTGTGCAGCAACAGTATTAACTCTTGCAATACTCGATCTTTTATTAACGTGATGGATTTGTTACACACTTCGTTCAGTAAAAAAATAAGACATTTCAACCACTAAGAAACCGCCTAGTAAAAAATGGTTAAATGTGATGCAGAAGACTTTCCACAGAGTTTATACATGTAGATCAGAAATTGTAGGTATGGTTACGAATTTCATTAGCGCAAACTGTCTTTTTCCTCAGGACATTTTGTTAAAACCCGTCGTGTAACTGGATGTGAATTATCGACTAGCGACGAAAAAGTCCCGACACTGAATACAGCAAACTCACCTTGCCGACCAGCATAAAACCTAAATCAACGGCTTCCTGCCGATTGCCTCCAACCATCTAACATAATCAACATCTTTCACTGAAAGTACCCGTTAAAGGTCTTAACCGTCTTCAAGGACACAGCCAGCCTTTTTGGACCATCAAGAAGTGTCGTGTTTTTCTTAAAATACTTTTAATTTATTTCCCTGTCGCATACATTTTGTTTTGAAACTTTAGAGTACGACCAATTCCAACACTTTAACTACCTACCACCACTCGATGCAACTGATAACCGATTAACCTTTGCTGATTCAGGTCCGTGGTTACCCCCAAATACGAAGATGTTGTGAACAAACCTTCGGACTCGTCTGGCTTACCAAGGTATAATGCTATTTTTGGAGGTGTAAGTAATGTTGCAGACGCACAAGGACAAAATACACTTTAGTGCAAGAATTTCTTGACGCATGTTACGTCCATTCCACCTTAAAAGTGATTAGCACTTCTCATAGGTGGAATTAGTTTTACATTTACCTCCATTATATGATACATTTTGTTTGCAAGACGTGTATAAAGATACGCAATAAATTATTCTTGAGTATTTTCGCCTTCTATATCTTAAGTATGCTTGGGTCTTTGTTTGAAGTCACTGTTAACACTACTCCTAGCATACAGTGGTTTTACCACAAGTTGGGAAATGTGGATCTAATGGCAGTACATGTGAAAGCGTCACTTCTTGCCTCCAAACTATGCTGTCTACTGTTGTACCTGTGTACCAGATTTTTATTTTTTCCCGACAAATCGCTTACATTAAAAGGAATCAACATAAAGCAGACTAAGTCTTGTTTTATCAGACAAATGATTCACTCCAATGGGCTACTTTAACTACGTCGCTAGTCAGATGAAATCAATACAGTAGGGTTTTATTTTAGCTGCTTTCAATTTCTAATCATAATTTACCACGATTGGTTCCTGTGGATAGATTCCCCTTTATATTGTAGCTATATATATTACCTAGATTTAAGAATAAATGGGGAGATTTACATAACAGACTGCTCAAATCAGATGTTCGACAAGTTCTCTTCAGTAAGGATGCAGGTAACTGGAAATTTCAAGATTCAACAGTCATAGAGTTCAATTGGAGACAAGTTTGTCGACAAAATATTTTGTGTAACATTAAAGTCAAAATAATGGGTTTGGGTCTAATCGCAAAGAAAAGATCGACAAAATTAATATAGAAGTAAAATCTCGGCACTGTGGTAAATTGTAATCCCATTTTAGTCTGTGAATTAGAAATGTCACATTGAAGCAGCGTTATTTACTAGGTCCAGTAAATGATATTGGGATAGGCAGGACACTTCGAATAACAGTTTAACTGGCCTCTGACTACTCCCTTTCCTGTTGTCCAGTCAGCTCTTGAATGGAACACCGAGATAGGTCTCCCAACTCTTGCAGAAGTTGAGAAGGATGCATGTGACCTGAAACCAGGTATTCACTCTTTCTCAGGCTCTGAAGCACAGGCGCACTTATCAGTCCCTGACACCAGTTGGATTTCTCGGCATGAAGGTGGTATTCAACTCCGTCGATTGAGAGGTCGCATGACAGCCTCTCTAATTAAAGGTAGCGCGAGGTAAGTGCATCACGTTGTTGTAAATGCTTTGTATTCGAACACCCATAGGTGTGTTAAATTAGATGGTGAGTTGTGTCTCTGATGGATATATTTACTGTTACTTATTGTCATTCAAACAATAAAATTCATGAAATATTTTGACGGCCTAATGTTATAACTTTAAGAACTATAAAAGATTTTCAAAGAGATTTTCTTCATTCTCCTGAATATTTTGGATTGCGTTTTGCAAGATGTATGGATGGCATCAAGCAATGATTCTTATTGATACCTTCATAGTATTTGTTTTTCATCTGACATTGTCTACATATTTTCATTTTAGATATAACTGACAATGATAATCCCTATACGTTGTTTCACATGCGGAAAGGTAGTTGGTGACAAATGGGAGAGCTACATAGGCTTACTACAAGCTGAATATGCTGAAGGAGATGCTCTGGATACTCTGGGTTTAAGGCGTTACTGCTGTCGACGCATGCTTCTTTCTCACGTTGACTTGATAGAAAAGTTACTCAATTACTCCCCTCTGCAACGATAAAGAAGTCATAAAATTAAGTAAATATATTTTCTGAATGAATATTATTCTGGTTTTTAAAAGTAAATAAAAGTTGGTACATTTTTCTGTTTAGTCTCCGTAATACCAGCGTCGTAATGCTCTAAGTAGCTTAGGAGGTCCATTTTCCGAGTTAGATTTCTTAGCAGGTGCAGCACCTGAGGTCGTTGTCTGTTTTTCTGTAGCAAACAATAAATTATGGTATATACATTTGTTATGATTTTTTCGCCAAAAAATACAGTTACAGTGTGAAATGTAGCAGATCAAACAGAACGTTAACGAGGACTGCACGGGTTGTTATATTTAACACATACTCACTGAAAACTCATCATGAAATCAGCCTGAATCAACTTCGTATGCTTGATGCACGTACTTATCAACACCAACGTGAGACCTGGTATTACTGCGTAACGCACTAAGTTCCCATACTTTACGTACTGAGAATACAAGGTACCAAGATGAAGAGCGGAGAAATATGGAAATAATTAAAAGTTGTAAAATAAATGCGCTCAAGGACATAATATGAAGTAAATGTTTGTATGGAATGTAACCAATTAGATGAAAATAAAACGTGGATGCATCTGCGCGAATACGAACAATCCTAAGCAATATCGACTTCTATTGTTGCGTGAACCCAGATCAGCATGCCTACGCAGCCCACATCAACAGTCAGGGATTTCATTCTACATTAGATCAGTTTATTCGATATAGTATTGTTTGCTCGATGACGTTTCTAGCCTATTCATGTAAAAGTAATATGAATATGAGCCAAAAATTTGTGCTTAAAACGTCATCTAGTAAATGACACTGTCACTATGTGCTATATCAAATACACTAGTCCAATATGGAATTGCGATACAATCTACTGCAGTGTATACATTCCGTACATTAAGCGACCTCACTGACTTGATGTGTTCTAGCCCTATCGCCCCTAGGTTTTATAGAGAGTAACTCTACCTCACCTAACACAGCAGATGGTGACTCGGCATGTGTCACTCAAATCACCCGATGGGGCTAACAACTTTATCAACTAACTTTCTTCCAGCTGAAACTACAGTTACCTTACAAACATGGTGGTTTAGTGCTTCTAAGAAAGCCATTGTTGAGCACGTAAAGCCTTTCTGGGTCGTCTAAATTTGATGAACATGTTTCAAAACCATAAAGTAGAGCGGATAGACAAAATCGACGTAGAACTTCTTACATAGGTGCATTGGTTCAAGTTACCACACTTCACAGGAGTACGCAAGAAGCGGGTGGACAAAGCACAGGGAACTGCAGTACATTACACCCGGATTGGAAATTCTGCAAGTGGTTGCGGTAACATCTGTTAGCGAAAGTCATCACAGTTTTATGGATTTGTGCCAAGATTTCACCATTCTCAGTTTCAACTAATTAAAGCTGTCAGAGCATTAAGCCACCTCCCTCTTCATTGTCCGACAAGGTAATAATCCGATCCAGTTCTGAAACAGCAACTTATATCATATTATTTAGATGAGGCTGTTTTTCGTGAGCGCCTGAAAAGGACTGTGTCGTCTGTATACTTTAAATCTAAAAAATTCTACTGAAACGAAAACAGCTTCTATCATTAGACTGCGTGGAGGGATGTCGAAAATAACACCAAATAAACGTGAGCCAATGTACGTAAACAACCCGGTTGATAGCTTGCAATCGGTTCTCGCCCTGCTATGGATGTTCAAGTGAAAAGCCTACAGTGAAGATATGCACCTATCTAGCACCTACTACTTCATTGAGACACACGCATACAATACCTTCCTGGTGAAGGGTAAATGCTGTCTGGATCGCCGTTATCTGGCTTAAGTCTGTCACATTCTGCTACCGAATGTTTGGAATGAATGCAAACTATAGTAGAGCTAGTGTCTGAGCAGTTTTAGCAAGCGATCGCCACTATCCATTCCTTCAACTGGGATTAGCTAAGTGCCACCCACGTGTCTATCTGTCCATCTGAACTAACCCACCTATTTTTGCTCTGAAATCACCTGAAACTACAATCACATCTGAGCGTTCAGTTTTCAGTAGGAGACTAGACAGTTTTCACGGGCACTCATATTTCGCTTCGTCTGGACTTCAGTCAACCGATGCGTAAGTTGAGATTACAAGCAGACGGCGGTGAGTCTCACTATTCCTTTTAGTCCCAACTGAACCCTTCAGTTGAACAGCACACAGGCAACTGTCAACTGCCGTTTATGCCATACGATTTAGTATCATACACATACGAGACTTTTGTTCCGTGAGCTTGAATTGCTACCGTTGGTTGCAGAGCTGTACAAAATTAAGGATGACATCAAATCACCAACAGGGAAATGTGAATAACGATTAGAAGGCAACTGTTTGCAAGACTGATGGTAATCAGAAGGTAATTGAGTTCTGACGTAGTTGTGACAGCGGCTCACAATTTTCGGGTATCTGTATCATTGGTTAGTTTTTATGAGGCACTAAGAAGTACAGTTGGGCTGTTAACAAATCACCAACACAAACTTTAGATCGTTACCTTAATTCACGAATTTTTCCTGATATTGCAACATTTAGGAATCCAGCGTCTTATCTGTAAAATTGCAGGGTACTCCTATGTTTTTTTCGCAATCTAGTATACATATGTTACCCGAATGTCAGTTGTGTCACATGCTTCACTCATCAAATCTTCGTCAAGCGAACGTCACAATATCGTTTCTAGACTATCCAGAGGAATTAATATGATAGTATTTCGCCAAAGTGGTACAGCAAAATTCTACTAGTTTTTTTTACTATATGTGTATCATACAATCAAACACTTAAAAGCTATAGTAGCATCCATAACTCCAACTTTTGTCGAATCAAAAACTAGTAACATGGTTCAATGCATTGCAAATTCCTTACCATCACTGTTTGTAATACTAAGGTGCTGTCCGTCTGGTCTCTTATAAATCACATGCTTTTTTTCTCCATCGGGTGATTTTTCAATTGTTGTGTGTACTTCCGTGCCGTCAGGTTCACGCACCACTCTTCTCTGTAGTTCCTTTATTTTCTGGAAGTAGAGACAGTACACAGAAAAAGATTGTACAAATAACCGTACCATTGGCAACGAAGAACAATCTAATAGCTAGTCTACACCATTTGCACAGGACACGCAAAGCATACATGTGATTAGTATGTGAAGTCATTTTTTGAGAGTCAGGCTTCTGTCATCTAAAATTTATAAATAATGACCATACATTTTGCTTACTCTTATCTGTACACAGAACGACAGAGAATAACAATATCCACAAAACTAAAAACAGTGCCACTGGGACCTAGTATCAGTACGCACAAAGGAATCAGTCACAAGTGTTGTTAACCTGTCTTTTTTGACATCCTGATTACTCCGCCTACACTTTTAAGGCCTTCTCCATTTTCAAGATATTTTGCGAAATACAATATTGTTGTTCATTGTGAGCTACTGGTCTACCTTTCTTCTCCCTGAGCATGATAGCAGAGTCAACTCCCACACTGCAACAACTCAAAGTACTATTGATAAATAGTACCAGCATTTTCGTGAATCCGTTAGTCATAAGACGAAGTATGTAAAAGAATAGTAAATCCAAAATGAAGTTAGGACCAGTAACAGCAGCCATACCGTCAGATCAGAACGTAACAGAAGTAATGACAACTCAATGTCAGACGACTTCTGTTTGACTGAGATTCTATAAAAACCGGCAAAATAACTTCCTATTTCCGTATACGGTCAGTCATCAGAAAAGTATTCTTCATTAACTCCAGTAGAAATATCAAAACTTAAAAACCGAGCCACAATTTTCGTAAGTACAATTCTTCGACTAGTTGGCATTGTGTGTGCGATGATTGCTTAACCTATTTCTTCGGTGTACATGAAATCTAAGTCAAAAAATGAATATACCGAACCGAGAAATGCTACACTGACGTAGTGGTTTGGACTGCATATCATGACGACTCAACGACCTATGCTTGTAAAAACATGCATACCTCTGTGGTCCTACCACATCAAAGTCAAAGAGCAGTCACTGATGAAGTCGTAGGGAATATGTGAAGCTTAAGTGCCTGATCTCGGTTGTGTTCCGTTCTCTGAGCTGAGTGGTCTCATCATGAAGCTGTCACTGTCTTTCCAGCCAACATCACTAGCACTAACTTCAGTACGGAGTCAGTTAACAGGACTTCTCCATGAGTGATTCAGTAACCAACGCTGACATAGTGGTGTGCAATTAGTAGTTCCCCTGACTGTTCTACTGACCGTTTCCCTACCAAACCTCTGACGTTGCAGTTTTTTTATCTCACTTTCCTTACTGGTTGGTGTTGATAGATTGGGTCTATGTCTACACATCTATCGGTTGCTGATTGTTTGGGTTTTCCCTGTCAAAGATCTCCACATTTTAAAATCGGACCGATATCCACACTGGTCCATGTGCATCGATATGAGCGAGAAGTGTCGTGACGTTTAATTGCTAAGTGATGTTTACGTAAACAAAGGCGAAAAGGATGACCACATAGTCTAATGTAGTGCTGATCATAGTAGTTGCAGGTGGTTTTGTAAATGATGTTTGATTTTTCTTCTTTAGCCACTGCTTCTTTTGGTTTGCATAATGTGGCGTGGGGGGGATTTGTTGGCTTTTGAGCCACACTAATTCAAAATGGTTTCAGTAGTCTTGTCGTGATCTCTGATATGTTCTTTATGCATGGTAGGATGACCTTTCGGCTGATTTCCGTGGATGACTTTGCAGTTGATGATGAGTGGAGTAGGGATATTCTGGTGGTTTCGTGGGTAACCACTCTTCTCCAAGACATGCATAAAGTAGTTTTCTTCATTTCTCCATGAAGTTGTTGTACTGCAGTATGTTCTTGGTCTTTTGAATAAAGCCTGTATGCAACTAATTTCGTGAGTTGTTGCTACTACGGTTGAAGGTTTGATCAGTGTATGCTGGTGTCGTGTGTGCTTGAGTTTCCAATTTTTCTACGTTGGTTCTAGTGACTAAAACATCCAGGAGTGGCAGTTTGTTGTCCGACTGCTTCCTCTCTGTGAACTGGATGTCGTTGAGAACGCTGTTGATCAGACTGCAAGCGCCTTCTAACTCATCCTTTTTAGTGATAAAAAAGTATCGTCCACATAGCAGATCCAGATTTTCGGTCTGATCACAGGTAAAATGATGGTTTCCAGTCCCTGGATTTCTGCTTCTACAACCAATCGAGATATCGACGATCCGATTAGGGTTCCTTTCATCTGTTTGTGTACCTTGTCTTTGAGTTGGAAGTATGTTGTCAGACAAAGCTTAACGAGTTCCATCAGATTTAAACATTGAAGGTTTGTGCTTTCTGAAATCGAGATGCTCTCAGCAACTTTGTGCACCATGCAGTAAGCCACACCTATTGTGTGAGGTCTAATGATAATAGTGATTTTAATGATAGTAGAACAGGTAGAGCAATTCGGCCCAGTCTAACAACGGGAAATTATGAGTATCAATAAACAACTGATACGTGTTGCACAATTGGTGGCTCTCGTGCCCCAGTGGGTGACATTCGTGGGTTTGGGTGATTGATACTGGATTCAAGTCCCAGTGTGGTGGAGGTGCGTTCGGCTGACGAACTCCAAATAGGACAAAACGCGCATCCTGGGCTTCACTGTCAGCCACTGAATAGACTTCAAGTTGATGATGCTGTTTGGATTTCTACATCGGTGGGTGAAGCAGTGTTCGAACTCGTGACCTTTTGGTTGAAAGTCGACTAAATGATCCAATAAACCACAGCTCCGTGTTTCGAAAGCCTTGCGTCGTCAGTGAGGACAGATATAATATTTTTAACCAGATATGGTTATATCGATGTTTATGATGCTGATTTCAAAGAGGACCGATAATTCGTAGCTGTCTATGCTAATGCGTTTGATAGTTTCGATAGTTGTGTAGGCGATTTGAAGAGATGTTCTCATCATCTCGTAAGGCATTTCACTTTCGTCGAAAACTGTAGACTGGGGTCCGCAGAAGTGACTTTCGGCAAACTGTGGACGAACAGATTCATTCCATTTCATTTTCTGGCTGTCTTTTTTTCCTTGCTTTCACGAACTTGTTCAGGGTTTTGTTGATCTCATTGTTAAACTTTTGAATATGGTTGGTTTCAAGTGGTTGATACACATTCTCGACCTCTGCCTTCCTCCAGTTGCCTTTCTTATCCATGACTAGATTGGTGCGCCTCTTTTGGTGTCTTTGTAATTTTTAAATCATTTTGTAGTGGGCGTTGCTGAAAGGAATAGATATAAGTAGTATATGTTGAGGGGGCGATAGAAATCATAGGCAATTACCAGCATTGGGTAAGGATTCTGCCAAGAAAAACGCAAGAGACAAGGCAGACGTATGAAGAGCACATCAAGAAAGAAGCAGAGGAGGAAATGAAGCATGTTAATAATAATAAACACTCCTCCGTCTGTCTTCTCTTTTCCTTCAATCTTACTTATTTCTGGACCTGAGTGGTCGGTCAGTCGGGTGTAATGTTTCTTCCTGATGGTCAGTAGTGCGGTTGTTTACCGTGTTTCTCGTCGGGTGTCTTCATTTAAGTCTGATGTTCTAAATAAAGACCATACTGCAGCGAAGAGTTCCAAACATTTAACAACTAGGTTAGACAAGGTTGGCTCTAAAAGTAGAATACTCACCTCTACTCTGTGATCTTCCGATGCCAGTGGTATGGATTTATAGCTGGATTCAAATCAAAGTTAAACCTAAAACTTGCCAAAAACCCATATTCAACCAACGTCAATCGAAAATCTCTTAGGCCCTACAGCCACGTGCCACTATTACAAACCCAATTTCGCTTTAAAGTATCTGAAGAAGAAGTAACTTACCATGGTATGAGCAACCACTATCAAAATTTGTTAGGACACAAGTTCCCGCATATCATCATCAATCTTCGAAATGTTTACCTTTCTTCATATCTTTCGGTCAATATTCTTACTTCATCTTTACTGTATCAAAACTCTTCAACTAACTGAAGCGATGCGAGTTCATGCAACGTTATCCCTGGTTCTCCGAAACTGCGCTGCAAACTACGTGGTGGAGTTTTCAACGTCTGCATATTCCATCAAATCGAACAAGCTTGTTAGCCAAAACTCGAGTATATCGGAACTACGGTCATGTGCTATGTTTGTGAGATATGTATAAAGGAACCAAATATGGGGATTCACTCAATTTGATTCGGTCAGTATAGTGAATCTTCGAAACCAGGCCAGCTATGGTGAGTTATTATTCGACGAAATCTATGCATATATAAACGAAACGCTCGCTTGGCCTTCGCCAACTGACGATATTTATGGCGCCGTAGTAATATCAGATTACCTACTAGGTTCAATTGCATTGCGCTTTTTTAAACTACATGGTTATGATTCGTGGTCATTAAAGGTAGAGGATATGAAAAGATGTTTGACTACCACTGCCTTCGTGGCCTAGGCCGTTTGTCATAGTGTCACCGCGTCAGTAACGTAAAAGCTAGGTGTAGAGTTTTATGGAGGAAAGAAGAGTCAGTTGACACTGTTGTGAACTCTCATCGACTCAGGTGTCTGGGTCATGCCTAGTCACCGTCTATCTCATCGCACAATGTTAACTGAAGTAAGTTTAGACTAAAAAAAAGGTTAGTGCAGTAAATCTCTAACTCCTGATCCGAGCTGTGTGGGCAAGTGTAGACTTCCCTGTTGTGGTGAGCGTGAAAACAGAAACCAGTTGTTGAAGAGTCTAGGTGATATGCCTCAGAAGCATCCACACATAATCCTCATCTTAATTGTCATACTGAATTCAGTATTCTCTCACTTCTCCTTCTACTACTTTCTCCCTTATTTATCTTCCATCTTAATGCGTTCTCGCTTCATGTGCTGATACAGTCTGAAAACCTGAGCCATCACGCAGTCTGGTCGAAAGTTATTATTAGCGTTGTTTTCATAAATACAGCATGACTCTCAATTACTAACGGAAAGATTTACGATCTGTCTAAGATGGCTTTGCACTATCGTTAGAAAAATCACAAAAGTAGCATTTTTGGAAAAACTTACACCGTCACTTCCAAAGACTCTTTTGCTGCTGAAATAACTAGTCCAGCTCTGTATAGAGGGATTCCGCTCCTCAATATATTGAGCGTAAGACGGTTGATCGTCAATGATGATATCCTTTTTCTCTAATTCCTGAATATTTTTCTGTCCCTAGTGTTAAGAAAATCAAAAGTTGCATTAAAAAGCATTGTCTTATCAAGAGTCAAGTGAAATGTATACAAAACAGCATATACATTTTAGACAACAAGCAGAAACCTAAATAAATCTCGTAATTGGTGTTTTCATTTTAGTTTGTCAAAGCATCAAATTATACAGAAATATCCACCACAAAATTTATAGACACTTAGGTTTTGTCACCAATGATACATAACTTAACATTTTCAAAACCGTTATCTCAATCTCGTACAATTCCACCCTACCTTTGGTTGTTAACGCCATCATTCTAAAACAGGATGAACACTGAAAAACCCTAGATTTAATAACACTGGTATGGTTTGAGCTCGTAAACATAATTAACATTTTACAAGACCCCTAGTCGTGCGGGAGTTTTTTTATCGCTTTCATATTTCTCCACTGTTGACACTGATCAAACATTACCACAAGTCACCCAAACACCATGAAGAACAAAAAATCTACCTCAAAATGTTTAACTACTATTTCTAAAAGATTACCATCTTGGTAAAATGACTACGATTTATACGTTGGCTTAGATACATCATCCTAATCATAATGTGTTTTTTTTGACGTTGAAATATTCTTGTCTAGTTGAATAAAGTCAATCAAAGGTAAGTACGATGAGATGAGAAAAACTGAGCTATTGAAGGCTTCATGAGGCTGGTTAGGGCCAACACATACTGAAATGTCTCATTGTCACTTTAACGACAATAAATCAAAAACAAATAGCGCACTTGATGAGACACCCAGGTTAGCACTAGGTTTTGCTGCCCAGCGGATTGAAATTCTAAGAATAGTATTGTGCATGAATGAACTCGAAAGTGATAGTCATAGATACCAGTAATTGTGGAAAATGGAGTGTATGAGTATTAGTAATAAAAAATAGACGCAAACCCCTGATTCATCAGATATTCACAGAAACCAATGCAGTCATAATGAGAAATGACGTTTTAAGAAATGCACTATTTTTGTAATTAATCTGAAACTAGTTGTAACATAAACTTGATGTTTGTGACATATGTTGATGTCACTTATGTGTCTCACTCAGCTCGCTGCTTCAGCTAAAACTACCTTCCAACTGTTTTAGGCTTTGACATTACTTTTACATCGCGCGTAATAGAGTTCAGGACACGAAACTGTACTTACCAGTCGATTTATGCTATGTAGATTATTATTACTGAAACAAACTATTCACGATTTAAATGTGCACCGTAATACTCCAGTATGCCAATGAGAAACGAAATTGAACTAGTTATTATTTTTGACCTACTCTCTGACTGTTTCTATCTAATGAACAAGTTTAAACTATCCCATCAATGGCTACGGCCTTGAAGGGGTGGTCGAAGTAGCCTACTCCAATAACTGCAGTCAGTTAAACCTCCGTGTCGATCCTTCTGTGAAGTCGTACTATAAGAGGATGGTCGACTGGATAGAAGCGAAATTGAAAGCTAACAACAATACATGTTACCGACACTTAGACGAGGGTCTGACGGCGAAGTTGCACCGGCAGGTGCAAATAAATGTGACGGTCGCAAGACATTTCCTATACGTTACCAGCGTTTCATCTGCGCTGCAAAAAGAAGGGTTGGCAAAGACCAAACAGAAAAACTATACATTCTACTTTGTCTGATAACAAGTTTCTCTAAGGTACGGAATTGATTCAAACAGCAACACTGGAAATGCATTAATGCTGCGATTGTCGGACGAACACCTTTTGAGCTTTGAGGTATCATATAAAGTAATCAGGTTTTTTACGCACTTCTTAGACTCTACGATAGGATATCTTCACTGCTTCAGCTGTTCCCACTGTTTTCCTATGACTAATATCATGCCTTTTCAAACGTAGATCATTTATTTAATATACGACTATCGCTAGTGATTCGAACCAGTGAAATTTTACTCCTAAAACCCCACTGCTAAGTGTACGCTGAAGCCTACGATTTACGAACCTAATACACTATAAGACGAGAGGAACTGCGGCTTATGGGCCTAGCCGATGGGTCATGGGTCCGGACTTAGCACCATCTACCGAGGTTTTAGCAGTCAGGTAGTATCATTCGCGTTCACACAACGTATGTGGCCCATATCTTACTACACGAATGTGTACATGGTTACTGAGTGGATTTCAATTTTTTGACAATCAATCAATATCAAACATAGGATCAGAGATTACTGCACAACGTTTCATGTTGCCAAACCTATCAGTACAAGTAAAAAAGCAGTAAGATGACAGATATAGAAGGAGAAAAAGATTGGTCAAAAGCAGTAAAAGTGGAATGAGAAAATGCTGAATTCAAAATATCGGTTAAGATGAAGATTATGTGTGGACACACCTGCACCCCTGACATCGATTCTGACCCATATCTCTTGATCTCCAACCGCTAGTTTCTGTAGTCACGTGGACACCAACCGGTTAGTCTGCAGCTCTCAAAATGACACAAACGAACAGTCAGAAAACTCTGGCGGCGATATCATGCTTTAGTTTGGTCGCCCCTAGCCTTTTTCCAAATTAAACCTGCTTCAGTAAATATTGCGATAGGACAGACAGTGACTTTGCATGTGTAACGTGTCTCAACCATCTCAGTCGATGAAGGTTCACAACTGCATCAACCAACTTCCCTTTTCTCCCTAAAACTCCACACCTAACTTCTGCACTACTGACGCGGTGACAATACCACACGTGGCCTATGCTACGAAAGAAACAGTGGTCAAACACTTTAAGCCTCCTCATGTAGTCTACCCCTAGTGGTCATGTTTCATAGCCACAGAGTAGAATAGAACAGCACAACACACTCAACCAATAATAGGCAGTCGGATATCGTGGCGGCGACAAAGATAAGTTGCAGATCGAGCCTTGCGTCCGGGAAGAGATTTCGTCAGCCACAGACCCACTAGGGTTGAACCGATTTCTTACGTAAGTGAAGTGGTCAGCGCACTCAATCCCTTCACTCTGTTGTCAGGCACGGCAGTGCTGAATAACAGGCCTGGAGCAACAACTTGTATGTGAGTAGCGAGAAACCCATCCCAAACATTTTCAAACTGACACTCCAGGTGTCAAGAAGACTGTATCTTATCAGCATCTTCACCTAACCGGATTATGTCAACTCCAGTGGTTAGATCAACTCCTGTGGTGTGAGATGACGAGAGAGGGACCTCCATAAGTGTCGGGCGTCGACAAGTGTGTCTATGTTCCAGGACCTGTAGACGTGTGAATATCTGGTTCATATACTCACCAACAGGTCTGTTCATCTTGGAGCTTCCTGCCGCCGAGCTTAACTCCGATGTCTGAAGATGATAGAACCAAGAATTTTCGACACTATTCATCAGACTGATTCCTCTGTGGTTATTCCAGGAGGACTTCTCACCTTCCTTGAAGACTGAAACGATTAGTGATTGATTCCAGTCATAGTTAATCGTATCTAACTTCCACAGACACTAGTTAACACTTCAGTTAACTTGACTAAAGACCCTTGACCACCGTCTTTAAATACCTCTGGAACTAGTCCATCTGACCCTGCTGCTCTTTCTCCTTTTAGGTTACCTACAGTTTACTCGATTTCTGTAAATGTTCGAGGTCTTATCTCGATGTTCCATTCAGGCTCCGACTGGATAGTGGGCAAGTGAATAGTAGTTGGAGGCTAGTTTGACTGTTTGTCAAAGGGTTCTGTTCATCATTATAGTCGTCTTATCTGCAAGTAAATCACAGACCTATCCTTCTTCTTTATCGTCCCACTAACCACTGACCTTTACGCTCCAGTTTCCTTGAGAAGTCCAAATAACTGTCCACTGTTACCTATCGTTACTGTCTTTTCCATTTCCTTAACCTTCGATAATCACCACTGTTCGAGGTTATTGCGTAGACTTTTTGCCAGTTTGTGTTACTTCTATTCCTCATTGTACTCAGAGCTTGCAGCGACGCGTACCCGTGCATCCACCGATTCAAAAGAAGCTGCTGATATTCACTGGCTCTTTTTAACCACTCTCTGAGAGTCAGCTACGGTCTTCCAAGTTGTTTTTACAGCCTGAACAGTTACCGAGTGTTACCCGACGCTGATGCCTTTTCCATCTCTCTCGCTTTCGTCACCCACCACTGCTCGCGACCGATGCAAAGGCTATTGGTCAACTCACGTCTACTTTTCTTTCGCTCCTTGCCGTGGTCTGGAGTCAGCTAAAATTAGTCTTCTAGCACCAATCAATTCAGATGACATCGTGGAAATCCAATGATGTTTGTTAATCTTTGGGTGCAGGTTAATAATTATCTTTCCCCTGTTTCTACACCAGACTTAGTTTCACACTAGGTTTCCTCAGGATGAGTATTGCTGTCATATTCAGAAAAATGCTTGGTTCCCTAAATGCAGACTTGACGTTTTCATCTTCCAATCGACCATAGACAGGTTTTATTGTCACTTGTTTCCTTTGAGCAGTAAGGTGTGGATATACACCAGCGCGAACTAGCGCGTAGTTGAAGGCTGAAGGGGTATTTCAGAAAGAGAGACAACTCTTCACAGATAGCTTATGGCAATGTGACCTATTTGTGTTCATTGTTGGTTTGATGTCGGTAGACGCCATGTGAGACGGCCTCACCTTGTGCCTGAAGTTAGTGCTGGCCAGAAACAAGTGATTGTCGAAGCAAAACTTAAACAGATGATTGCCGTTGTCGGTTAGTTGGCACGGGATTCCATAAATACCCCCGAGGTGCCTCTCTGACTGGCTCAGCTTTCCTACTTAAGCGTTAAAGTCACCTGTCATTATGACTACATCTGAATGTTTTGTTGTCTGCCGCAAAGTTGACAGCTTCTCATAGGATTCATCGTTTGCATCATCCGAACTACAGTCTGTGGATGCGTAGGTGGAAATTACAAATAGGCATCGCCTGATCTCACGATCCTTCCTAGTCCTAGTCCCGTTTCCTGCTTCCCAGCTGAGAAGCGCGGTTTTGGCCCTACAACTCAATGCTATGCCTACACCAGTGAGTC